GGGGCCGAGCGCGGGGGCGGGGCGCACGAGGGCAGACCAGGCGTCACCCTCCAGGCCCCACTAAATGGCACGGCCCGGCCGCCGCTGAGAGCGAGGGAGAGGTTATTAAATTTTAAACAAAGTCCAGCCCAGGGGACCCTCCAGCAACAGCTCTCATTTCCAGCACACCAGTTGTCAGGTTCACAGAAACCGAAACTCCCCTCCCCTCTGGGGCTGGGGCTTGGGTTTTCATTGTTTGTAACCCAACGGGCAGCAGCTGGCATGGTGGATCCCTCGGGGAGGCAGGGCAGGCGGGACAGGGCCACGCGGGCCCCCAGGCAGGCCGCTGGCGCTGGGTGCCCCGGGAGCCGGGAGCCGGTGGGGGCGGGCAGGCCCGGGAGGGGGGAGGGGAGGCGAGGGGGCAGGGCTGGCCCGCCGGGCAGGAGGCGCAGGTCTGGAGGAGGAAGAGAGCAGAAAAGGAGGAAGCGCCAGAGAGGAGCCGAGGAGCCGGGACAGGAAGGCCCAGTTTAGCCAGCCAGCGCTACTTCCTCAGAAATTCCACCAGGCCGCCTTCCTGCTCCCCCACGGGTGGGTGGGTGGTGGCTGAGAAACCCCCCCAGGGCTGGGCGGGCGCCCCGGGTGGGCACCGCAGGCCTGCCGTGGGCAGCGTCCACCTGCCCCGTGAGGTCATGTGAGATCCCCAGTGGCCGCGCAAGGCCTGACCTGCCGTCATCTTAAGGAACTGGCCCCCGCATTCTGATCCCCTCCCCACACAGGCCTAGGGTCCCGACAGCAGCTTTCCAAGTTGCTCGCGTATTTGCGCACCGAGCCGAAGCTGAGGCCAGCGCCAGCGAGGCAGAAGTCACGCCGCCACCCCCACCCTGGACCGAGGGCCGGCCGCTGGACGCCTGCCCTGGAGAGGGTCTGTGTCGGCATGGGGCCGCGTCGGGTTTCCTGGGAAAGAGCTCAGTAACGGCATGCTGTGTCGTCTGACGCGACACGGGAGTCCCTTTGGAGCGGGGCGTCCCCAGGATGGGGGGTGTCTCCTGCCTGGGGTAGAGATGGGGTGAGGGAGACTGAGGAAAGAAAAAGGGGGGTGGGGCCCGCGGAGGCCTGGGGAGGCCCTGGGGGCAGGGCTGGCCTCTGGTGCTGGACCGCTGAGACACACGAGTGAGAGGCCTGGGGAGGGACGAGGGCAGCGCTGAGCTGGACTCAGAGTTTGCTCTCTCCCCCCAGACGTGTGGCCGCGTGTGACCCTTCTGTGCAGGTCCCCGGCGGAAGGCGCCTCGGACTGGTGGCGGGCTTTAGGCCGTGTTTCGGGCCACGGACGTTTGAACGTTTACCCACGAGGGGCTGGGCGGCTCCGGGCGCTTGGCTTGGAAACGCTGCTCTTCCCTTTTCTTCGTCTGCTGCACGCTAGCTGTATCAAAGGCCCTCTCCATTAACGGGCTACGTGTTTTGTCTTGATGCGGCGGATGGCAGAACCTGTTTAGAGCCGGCAGGTTTGGGGGTTTTGGGGTGCCCCTCTCCCTGCCCTGTGACACCTCTACCTTCTCAAGGAATCTATTCCGAAACAAGTTTGTTTACATCCACATTGGCAAAGCAACTAGAATTTCATGCGGGAGGAGAGATGCAAAAACCCGACGGGCCACAAGCCCAGACGGGGTGGGGCGGCCCTCTGCGGGCGAGACCCGGTCTCGGCCCGTTCCCTGCACCCCTCCAGGCCGAGGTGCCGAAAGCCGCCTACTCACCACCGCCAGGCTTTAAAGACAAGGACGCAGCAGTCACCCGAACGCCCAGCTCCAGACGCCACTTCTGGAGGGCGATTTAGCCTCTAAATCAAGAGTCCAGGCGCGGCCTGGTCCAGGATTCCCTTTTAGAAATGCCTCCGGGGCCGGTCCAGCCTGTGAGCAAAAGCACCCGGGTGCTCACCCAGACTTCTTACAGGAGAGAAGTGGAGACGACCCAGACGCAGGGCCCCGCTCAGCTACGCGACGGCCCCTGTGACCCAGACGCCGCCACCCCTGGCCCGAGGTGAGCGCGGCGACCACTGCTGGGGCGGGCAGGAGCGCAGGGCGCCTCGCTAGCTGCTCCCAGACAGACAGGCGTGCGCGGGGACCCCAGGCACCGAATCTTCGTTATAGGTAACTTTTTTTTTTTTTAAAAGATTTATTTATTTGTGCATACAGAACTGGGGTACAGGCCAGAGGCTCAGGGGCGGTGAGAGGCTTCACCAGAGACAGAGTGGGGAACAGAACAGGCAGATGGACGAAGTCCACTGCTGAGGGGAGCAGCGGGCGGGTCAGGAGAGGTCTGCCACGCCATGTGGTCACCTCCGGGGCAGGCGGGGATCGAACTCATGCGGAAGTGGCTTTAGATTCTCAGTGCTGTGCTTTAACCCGCTGCGCCACCAGGGAGGGCCAAGTTATAGGTAACTTTTACTCTCTTCCTTCTACTTGTTTATCGCTCCCAAATTTTCTGCAAGAAGCATAAATCTCTTTGTAACAAGAAAAGAAATCAATGAAAGCTATTTTCTAAAGACGAAAGGAAGAGACCAGGACCCAAGAGACGGTTCGTTTCGCGGACGTTCAAACCTCAATGGGATTTGGGCAAAAAGACGCCAACAGGGACGGGGATGGCCGTGCGCCTCCGAAGGCCATTTTCGGGGCCTGAGGGGTGGTTTCCAGAGGAGAGTCCTCCAGGCTCCGCCGCCCGGCGCTGGGGGGCGCGCTGGGGACGGGCCAAGCAGAGCGGAAACGGTGCCAAAGCCACACGACCAGGCCCGGGCCCGGGAGATCGTCTCTAGGCAGAGCTCAGAGCGGGCGAAGGTCAGCTCCTGGGCTGCGGGCTGTTGGAAATGTGGGTTATGTTTACTGAGGCCAGAGGGTTTACATCGCTACTGATTGTAGGGCTGCAGGTCCAAACCTCTAGCACAAACGTTCACGCTGTGCCCACCAGCAGCGCCCGGCACCCTCCACCACGCCCCCGCGCCCCTCCCCAGGCCTCTCTGGGGGGTGTCAGGGCCCTTCTGGCCCGGCCGCGCCCCGCCTGGGCCTCTGCGGCTCACAGGCGAGGCAGCACCGGCACCCCCGTCCCTCGCACCGGGCCGAGACTGCCCAGCCACCTGGCGAGGGGGTGACCCGCTGCCATGGAGGCAGAAAGGCCCCAGAGGGATTCGGGACAGCCACGCCAACCCTCTGTAACCAAAGCTGTGTCTGGACAGTGGAGGGGCGGGGAGGCGCGGGGGCCTGGGCTAACTGGCGGGGGCCGGGGGGCCCAGGGGACCACCGAGGCGCCAGGGCAGGGCGTCCCCCCACTTGTGATCGGGGCCTCAAGTTCATCTCAAAGGCCAAATCCCCCCGTTGGGAAATGTGTCCTGGGGGCCGTCCGCCGGTCGTGTATTCGGCAAATAGCCAGTGGGGAGCAGAGGGGGGCCACGCTGAGGGGTGATGGCTCCACCTCCCCCAGCGAGGGGTGGCTCATCCCAGCGCCTGCATGGGGGGCATCCTGCCTCTCCCTGGACTTGCAGGCCCCGACTTACACTCTAGGGGCGCCCTGGGGCACCCCAGGCAGTGCAGGATGGCCCGTGCCATCCTTAGTGCCAAACTCTTGCCGGTGAAGCTGGAGCCTCTAAATCCAGCCTTGGGTTACATGCGGCAGCACGGCGAGCTGTGCCCCCCAGGGCCTCTCCGGGCAAGGAGGACAAAGCCAGTGCCCTGCTTGGGATCGGCACCGGTGTTTCCGGGGACAGAGAGGAAAAGAAACAAGCAGCCTCCCTGGAGTCAGCGGGATTCGCCACTCACGCGCCTCTGGCCGGAAACAGTCATTCTCCCGGAAGCCCACTGGAACTCCCCCCCAAGGTGAAGGCCCCGGCCGAGGCAGCCCTGACTAGCAAACACACTTGTGAAGTGGGGTTGGGGTTCAGACACTCAGAGGAGCTGGGGGCTTCCGAGGTGGGAGGCAGAGCCCAGCCCCGGCTGTCGCCTTGGGGTGGCTCAGCCCAGCCGCGCCCGAGGCACCTGCCAGCCCGCGAGGCCCCCGGGCCGCGTCCAGCCGCGACCAGGTTGGTTAAGTGAATTAGGGAGACAGGAGACCGGGGCTGCAGAGGTTGAGCTGGGTCTGGCGGAGCCCTCGGGGCCGCCAGCCCCCGGCTCAGCTGCTCGGTCGGCACAGATGGGGACGGGCACGGCCGGAGACCGAAATAGCGAGCGTGAAAAGCAGAGCAAAGGTGACGCCCTGGGCCGCCCCGCCTCCGCGCCTCCCCCTTCCCTGCTCTCCAACCCGTCAGGTGGCCTGCGCGCAGGTCCCGGCCCGCGGCAAGGGCCCGCTTGGGGGCCTGTCCCAAGGTCTCCCGGGCCGCCCGGGGAGACCCCACCTTGCTAGCGGGCGAGACCAGCTCTGGCACCTTCCGTGCCGGTGCCAGGGAGCCGCACGGGGCCACGGCGGCAGAGCCCGCGGGAGGCAGCATGACCGAGCCGCCGGTGTCTCCCGACGGCCTGCTCCCGCCCCGCTCCCACGGCAGCCGTCCAGGGGAGCTGGCACCCTCACACCTGCGGGATGGCCCCCACCAGTGCCCGCCCCGGCCCCCAGGGCCGCCGCGACCCCCGCTGAGCGTCATGTCCACTCGAACACTGGCCTGATGGGCCTTTTTCTTACTGACTAGGGCTCTTTAGATAATACCAAAGTCGGCTCTCTCTGTGATATTTGTTGCAAAAAAAGTTTTCCCAGTTTCGGGAACAGCAGGGCTCTCTTCACCCTGTTGGGGTGGTTTTGCCACCTGGAAGTTGATCTACTCGTGTGGAGTCCGACACGTTCATCTTTCCCTCCATGGCTGTGGGTGTTAAGTCACACTGAGACAGCTTTTCGCCAGTGCATGTTCTCACACGCACACCTTTAATCCACCCGAAATCCCCTTTATTACAGCGCCTTCGTCTTCCGGACAGCCGCGCGGCCACCGCACGTCACGGACGTCCTTCTCTGTCCTCTTAAATGACACCGCCGCCGAGGGTCACGGCCTCCCCCCGTGGTCCCCTCCACCCCACTGTGTGCCCGGGGCCGGTGCACGCACGTGGGCCCCCCCGGCGCCCCAGGCTGAGCGCTCGGAGCACCCCCCGCCTTACAGTAAGGACGCCGGGCCAGACGCGGGCACGTCTGCTCTGCACCCACTCGGGGAGGGGAGGGCGGGCCGCCGTGAATCCTGCCACTGCGACGGATGCCCTCAAGCGACTGCTTCACCCCGTGCCTGGCCCTGGACGCCCAGGAGCCTCTGGGAAGCTGGGAGCCCAGCGGGGCTCCGAACCCCGCCCCAGGCCCGCGGTGAGGGGCAGTGGCCGTGACCGTGGACGAGCGGTCGGTTCTGCCAGGGACGGCACCGGGAGGCTCGGGAGACACGCCGCTTTTCACGGGACCCAGCCCGACGGGGGCGCTTTGGCAGGAAGGGGGCGGCGGGACGAAGCGGGCGTCTGGCGTGTAGGGCAGGCAGGAAGTCATCGGGCTTGGTGCGGGCTGTGCGGCGTCAAGCAAAACGTCGC